GAGGGAATGGGGTATAGTGACACAGTAACAGAGGGATGCTCAGTGAGTTTACATGTTAGAGGAAGTGGGGTATAGTGACAGTAACAGAGGTATTGAGGGCCTGCTCAGTGAGTTTACATGTTAGAGGGAGGGGGTATAGTGACAGTAACAGAGGGATTGAGGGCCCTGCTCAGTGAGTTTACATGTTAGAGGGAGTGGGGTATAGTGACACAGTAACAGAGGGATTGAGAGCCTGCTCAGTGAGTTTACATGTTAGAGGGAGTGGGATATAGTGACAGTAACAGAGGGATTGAGGCCCTGCTCAGTGAGCTTACATGTTGAGGGAGTGGGGTATGGTGACACAGTAACAGAGGGATTAAGGACCCTGCTCAGTGAGTTTACATGTTAGAGGGAGTGGGGTATAGTGACACAGTAACAGAGGGATTGAGGGCCCTGCTCAGTGAGTTTACATGTTAGAGGGAGTGGGGTATAGTGACACTTAAACAGAGGGAGCGAGGGCCCTGCTCAGTGAACTTACATGTTAGAGGAAGTGGGGTATAGTGACACAGTAACAGGGGGATTGAGAGCCTGCTCAGTGAGTTTACATGTTAGAGGGAGTGGGGTATAGTGACACAGTAACAGAGGGATTGAGGGGCCTGCTCAGTGAGTTTACATGCTAGAGGGAGTGGGGTATAGTGACAGTAACAGAGGGATTGAGGTCCTGCTCAGTGAGTTTACATGTTAGAGGGAGTGGGGTATAGTGACACAGTAACAGAGGGATTGAGGCCCTGCTCAGTGAGTTTACATGTTAGAGGGAGTGGGGTATAGTGACACAGTAACAGAGGGATTGAGGGCCCTGCTCAGTGAGTTTACATGTTAGAGGGAGTGGGGTATAGTGACACAGTAACAGAGGGATTGAGGGCCTGCTCAGTGAGTTTACATGTTAGAGGGAGTGAGGGTATAGTGACACAGTAACAGAGGGATTGAGGGCCTGCTCAGTGAGTTTACATGTTAGAGGGAGTGGGGTATAGTGACACAGTAACAGAGGGATTGAGGACCTGCTCAGTGAGTTTACATGTTAGAGGGAGTGGGGTATAGTGACACAGTAACAGAGGGATTGAGGGCCTGCTCAGTGAGTTTACATGTTAGAGGGAGTGGGGTATAGTGACACAGTAACAGAGAGATTGAGGGCCTGCTCAGTGAGTTTACATGTTAGAGGGAGTGGGGTATAGTGACACAGTAACAGAGGGATTGAGGGCCTGCTCAGTGAGTTTACATGTTAGAGGGAGTGGGGTATAGTGACACAGTAACAGAGGGATTGAGGGCCCTGCTCAGTGAGTTTACATGTTAGAGGGAGTGGGGTATAGTGACACAGTAACAGAGGGATTGAGGGCCTGCTCAGTGAGTTTACATGTTAGAGGGAGTGGGGTATAGTGACACAGTAACAGAGGGATTGAGGGCCTGCTCAGTGAGTTTACATGTTAGAGGGAGTGGGGTATAGTGACACAGTAACAGAGGGATTGAGGGCCTGCTCAGTGAGTTTACATGTTAGAGGGAGTGGGGTATAGTGACACAGTAACAGAGGGATTGAGGGCCTGCTCAGTGAGTTTACATGTTAGAGGGAGTGGGGTATAGTGACACAGTAACAGAGGGATTGAGGGCCTGCTCAGTGAGTTTACATGTTAGAGGGAGTGGGGTATAGTGACACAGTAACAGAGGGATTGAGGGTCCTGCTCAGTGAGTTTACATGTTATCTACCTGTATCTACCCCCTGCCCCACCGGTGGGTGGGGGCCCCATCTAATATTCCCTTATTATCCCTCTAACCTGCATCTACCCCATCCCCCATCTCTACCTGTATCTGTCCCGTCTAATATTCCCTTATTACCCCTCTAACCTGTATCTGCCCCATCTAATATTACCTTATTACCCCTCTAACCTGTATCTACCCCATCCCCCATCTCTACCTGTATCTGCCCCATCTAATATTCCCTTATTACCCCTCTAACCTGTATCTACCCCATCCCCCATCTCTACCTGTATCTGTCCCATCTAATATTCCCTTATTACCCCTCTAACCTGTATCTACCCCATCCCCCATCTCTACCTGTATCTGTCCCGTCTGATATTCCCTTATTACCCCTCTAACCTGTATCTACCCCATCCCCCATCTCTACCTGTATCTGTCCCGTCTAATATTCCCTTATTACCCCTCTAACCTGTATCTACCCCTCCTCTTCCATTAACCCTCTCTTACCTTCTCTTCCTGCATACCCCATTATTTGTGTGACCCAATCCTATCACTCTCATCTCTCCAGGGCCCAGCACATGGCCTGCCCCTCTCTTACCTGCCCCCTGGAGGCTCAGGATCAAACATGCAGCCAGGAGCCACAAGTTGGAGCTAGTCTTGCTGTTTGCAGTATTCATGGTCTGACTGTAGACGGTTGTTGGTGCTCTGTCCGCTGCGGCCCTCGCTGTACGTAGACGGTTGTTGGTGCTCTGTCCGCTGCGGCCCTCGCTGTACGTAGATGGGTTAGTAATGTTCTGTGCTGGGCTATGCTGCTTGGTTTATATAGTCCCATCATTGTAACTCCGATTTACAGAGAGTGAGTGAACATCTTATTCACAGCATTCCAGCTTTGTGAGCGAGCAGGTAATGAGATGCTCTGTGTAATCACCGGGGTGGAGTGTCCTTCATAACACGCTCTGCGTCTCCATAACCAGTTTTAAAGGTTTATTAAACCAATTATAAAAATAAACATGTCACAGGCGGTTACTTCACAGAAAATGATCCCTCAGTGAGTGTATAATGAAGGAATAACGTCAGTCATTGAGCTACGATTTGCAAACACCACATTAAACTATTAGGGGACACTAACGGAGTAATCACCATGGAGACCACTGGAATTATCAGGGACATTCTTTTGGTTTCCATAGTGATTATTCAGCTCTCAGAATTTTTCCATATTTTCTGTTAGCTTTATAATTTTATTAATTTCCCACAGTGTCAACAAAGGGAGGTAACCAAGAGCCTCCGTCGCTGGCGCCCAAAGAATGTCTTCGAATGGGCTCTGATGGGGAGAGATGGCTCTGAGCAGGAAATGGCTCTGAGGGGGGTGGAGGGAGAAGGCTCTGATAGGGGAGATGACTCTGAGGAGGAAATGGCTCTGTGACAAACCCCTTTTTTTTTTTTACAGGAGTTTGCCACAAGCTCCTGGAGGAGCCTGCTTGCCAGCCTCCTGCCCACAGACTATGGACCTGGTGAAATATAATGTTAAAGTCTCCGTGTGTGCCTGTTTGGACTTATATGGCCACACTTCGAACTTTCGAAGCGGCATTTCGAAATACCGAACAACTGCACCAACCACAGACCCTGGAACTTGTTAACACCCATTAACAACTTGGAACGTTTCTCACCACAGTGTTTTAATTGTTTGTTTGGGTGGCCGCAATTCCTATTGACAACCACGAGGTGGCGGCCATCTTGTTCGCATAAACGCAGGCAGCAGTGTTTGGGAATGAATCTCATGGGATCGTGCCCAAAAAATCATATACAGAAACTCCCGAACACAGCTGGACTTACATCATCGCCTGCATTCGATTCTATTCAACTTAGAAGGGCACTGTTTGGTGAGATCATTTGAAGGGAACAAGCTCCAGGGTAAGACTGTTGACTCTGTTCTGTAGTTTTTCGTTTTCATACTACCGAACTAGACCGACTGCAAGCCATGATTCTCTGGAACTGTTTTGGGCATGGAACCATACCTGCGGTCGGTTAAATAAATGACTTCCATAGAATTTCTGAACCCCTCAACTGAGGGTGATATTTGGATATATTGGTCGCCAAGATCAGGGCTATCAGGGGATGTGACATTTGTGGGGATATCATGTGTTTTGGGGTACTTTTGGGACTTTATAGAAAACGGTGTTTTTTTTGTTTGTTTTTTTTGTTCTGTGCTTGGAGATAATTGGAATAGAATTAGTACAGTTACTGATCCAATTATCTCCCAAGCAGAGGGGAGAGATTGTGTGTGGGAGTGCCTTACATTGTAAATGTGTTATTGGTTTGTAGACATGTGCAATTCGTTTTGGTCCGAATTAAAATTCGGCCGAATTTCGGGTAATTCGGACATTTGGGTGCTTCTGAATGTCCAAAGTGCCGAAGTTCCGAAGCACAGTATTGCCTAAGTACTAATATACTTACCCAGTGAAAGAAGAATACTTTACCTCCCAGCTCTCTTCAGCGGTTCGTATGTTTCAGCACGAATCCTTTGTGCTCAGGTTAGATGGCCGCCATTTCAGGACTTTACACGTGTTCGCGGCCATCTTACGCACGAACAGCGGTGTTTGCCAGTGATTGCATGGAACTAAAAACGGATACGCAAACAGGCGAACACCGCTGAGACCTCCGTGACACCATAGATTCGTGCCGGAACTACCGAACAACCGGCCGTTCGGTAGTTAGACTAAAGCTTACATGGGGATTCCAGCGAACACCGGGATGAATGTGGATGGCAAGGGTTTCGTGGGGTTTTTATGCACAACAGAGACCGACCGCAAGGCCAAAACTTACGGAACTATTTTCGGCTAGAAAGTCTGTGCGGTCGGTCAAAACTTCAAAGACCCATAACTCCCGAACCCCTCAACCGAATGAGCTGGAATTTGGATATGTTGTTCCCCTGAATGAGAGCTATCTGGCAATACTAGATTTAAATATGTACCCCCTGTTTTTGGGGTACATCCAGAACTTGGGAAAAATTGTGTATGCTTTAATTATGTTAAATGTTTATCTGAGGGGAGGAGACATGGGGGTTGTACCATGTGTAACGGCTACCCTGGTAGAGAGAGGGTATCGGCCGTTGGAGACGTCCTTTTTCCCTGCAAGCTGCTGTGGAGAAGTAAGCTGGTATAATCCCATTCACGATATCCAGAGTAAAAGTCAGGTTCAGCTGTAGCAGGAGCAGAATAACATTCCCAAATAATCCCCTTCCAAGAACGAGACAAGGCTACGTTTTGCAGGGTCAAGAAGATCTGAGGTCTGGGATAACCAGCCTGCTTTTTATTAGGAACAAGTACACACAGGACACTCCCAGGGGGAGGATGAAAATAACCAATTACACACAGGGTAACACCCCCACGTCTCCTCCCCTCAGATAAACATATAACATAATTATAACGTACATAAATTTACCCACATTCTGGATGTACCCCAAAAACAGGGGGTACACCTTTAAGTCCAGCACCGCTTAATAGCTACCACTCAGGGGAATAACATATTCAAATTTCACGTCATTCGGTTGTGGGGTTCGGGAGTTATGGGTCTTTGAAGTTTTGACCGACCGCACAGGATTTTCAGCCGAAAAGAGTTCCACAAGTTTTGGCCTTGCGGTCGGTCCCCGTTCGTGAATAAAAACCCCACGAACCCCTTGCCCTCCACAGTAATCCTGCCGTTCGCCTGAATCCCCATGCATGCTTAAACAAAACTACCGAACGGCCGGTCGTTCGGTAGTTTCAGCACGAACTTACGAGCTCCTGGAGGTCTCAGCGGCGTTCGCCTGTTTGCGCATCCGTTTTTAGTTCCATGAGTTCACAGGCAAACACCGCCGTTCGTGCGTAAGATGGCCGCGAACACGTGTAAAGTCCCGAAATGGCGGCCACCTATTCTCAGACAAAGGGATTCGTCTGAACCAGGCGAACGGCTGTATTCTCCAGTAATGGTATTCCCTTGCAATAATTTCGCCATTTTCACTGTTTTAGTCCACAGGGCTTTGGTGCTGGTGAAGTCCTGTTACACTGCTCCCCTTTTGTGGAACACCCCGGCAGACCCGGATTGATCCTTTTCGGGTCAACTTGGGGCTGTCCGGTCCATTGTTAGGGTAATAGTTCCGTTTGTCTGGACAGACCATCGGCATTTCCATTAAATTTGCCAGGGCGGTATTGGATAGAGAAGTTATAGGGTTGCAGTGCGAGGCTCCATCTTAATAAACGTCCATTGTCTCCAGCTACTCTATTCAGCCATACCAGAGGGTTATGGTCGGTGATTAGAGTAAATTCCTGCCCGTACAAATATGGGGTGAGTTTCTTTAGTGCCCAGACTAGGGCCAAGCATTCCTTTTCCACTGCCGCGTAACTCACTTCCCTAGGTAACAGTTTTCTACTGAGATACGCGACAGGGTGCTCGCTTCCATCTTCACCGACCTGGCTTAGAACTGCCCCCAGTCCATACATGGATGCATCTGTATGGACGACAAATCTTTTGTTAGGGACGGGGGCAGACAGGACAGGTGCATGGATTAGAGCCTTCTTTAGGGCTTGAAAGGCGGTTTCACAGGCGGGAGACCACAGGACTATCCTAGGCAAGTTCTTTTTGGTTAGGTCTGTCAGGGGTTTTGCGATGGCGCTATAGTCTGGGACAAACCTCCTATAATATCCTGCCGTCCCCAAGAATGCTAAGACCTGAGTTTTGGTGTGGGGTGTGGGCCAGTTAGCTACCGCTTCAACTTTAGCGGGTTCTGGGCGCTGCTTCCCACATCCCACCCGGTGTCCCAGGTACTGGACTTCGGCCATGCCGAAGTTACACTTCTCTGGTTTCAGAGTCAAGCCTGCGGCTCGAATCTGATCCAGTACGGCTTCGACATGCTTTAAATGCTCCCCCCAGGTTTCGCTATAGATCGCAATGTCATCCAGGTACGCGCAAGCGAAATCCTGGAAGCCATCAAGGAGGCGGTCCACTAAGCGCTGGAATGTAGCTGGGGCGTTTTTCATCCCAAATGGCATGACTTTGAACTGGTACAAGCCAAATGGGGTGACAAAGGCCGACTTAGGGATAGCCTCCTTGTCCAGGGGGATCTGCCAATATCCTTTGCACAAATCGATGGTGGTCAGATAACGCCCCCTGGCAATGCGATCTAATAGCTCGTCTACTCGGGGCATGGGGTAGGCGTCTGTCACGGTTCTGTCATTGAGACGTCGATAATCGACACAGAACCGAGTGGTTCCGTCCTTCTTGGGAACTAGAACCACCGGGGAGGCCCACGGACTGTCCGAGGGCTCTATCACCCCCAGTCTTAACATTTCTTGGATCTCCTTCCTCATCTCCTCTTTTACTGCCTCAGGGATCCTATAGGGGGTTTGTCGGAGAGGGGTTTGTCCTGGGGTCTCTACATAGTGGGTTGCTAAGGGGGTGTACCCGGGCTCTTGGGAAAACGTCAACCCTTTCTCAGTCAGCAGCTGTCGGATCTGTCCCTTTTCGGCGGGAGTTAACCGCTCCCCTAGCTGTACGGTATTGAGTAGGGTTTTAGGTTCTGGGTTAGCTAATAGGTCGGGTATGGGTAAGCTGTCAGGGTCTTCGGCAGCGGGTATGCATATGGCGGCTATATCCTCGGGTCTTTCCTGATATTCCTTTAGTAGATTTACATGAAAGGACTTCCGGATCCTTTCATCTTTGTTGCTGGCGATTACGTAGGTGGTGTCACAGACTTGTGCTACCACTTTGTAAGGGCCCTGCCAGGAGGTCTGGAGCTTATTCCCTTTGACAGGTCTAAGTACCAGCACCTTCTGGCCTACTTGGAAGGTTCTCTGGCGGGCGCCCTGATCGTACCAACGTTTCTGGTGCCCTTGGGCCGCATGGAGGTGGTCCCGTGCCATCCGGGCTAACTGTTCCATACGGTCCCGCATTTCTAATACGTATGGCACGATGGGTACACCTTCGTGTTCTGTCTCCCCCTCCCAGTGCTCCCGGATGAGGTCGAGAGGTCCTCGTACTCTCCGGCCATAAAGCAGTTCAAAGGGAGAGAACCCTGTGGATTCCTGCGGCACCTCCCGATAAGCGAACAGGAGGTGCGGCAAGAATCGTTCCCAGTCTCTGTATTCCGCTGTAAAGGTCCTCAGCAATTGCTTTAGGGTACCGTTAAAGCGTTCACAGAGACCGTTAGTCTGTGGGTGGTACGGGGAACTAAGCAGGGACTTAATACCACAGACCTTCCACAGCTGTTGGGTTAGGTCGGCGGTAAACTGGGTCCCTCTGTCGGACAGGATTTCCTGGGGGAATCCCACTCGGGTGAATATCCCGACTAAAGCACTGGCGACAGTGTCAGCCTGGATATTCGTCAGAGCGACGGCTTCTGGGTAGCGAGTAGCATAGTCCACCACGGTAAGGATGTATTTCTTACCGGAGGGACTGGGGTTAGGTAGGGGTCCCACTAGGTCGACTGCTACCCTGCTAAATGGTTCCTCGATCACAGGCATAGGTAACAGTCGAGCTTTAGGGTGATCCCCTCTCTTCCCTACCCGTTGGCATACGTCACAAGTACTGCAGTAACGTCGCACATCCTTCGAGATCCCCGGCCAAAAGAAGGTCTGGGTGATCCTGAAGGTGGTGCGGTTA